AACATAATTACATAGTAACACATGAAAAAAAATAACAAGAAGAAATTTTTTCATGATCATATGAGTTTGCCGGATAAAGCTATATATTTGGTATAATAAAGTTATAGTATTACGGTATCGTATTATTACACTATAAAGGTATGTACTATAGTATTATGATATATATTACGACATTGCGACTAGGGATGGGTTCGGTTACGACTATAGTTGACTATAGTCGACTATTAGTCGTAGTCGATATTTAGCCGACCGACGGATTAGCTGACCGGCTAAAATTGTAGTCGATGCCAGATTTTTAATATCCTGGCAAATAAAAATGATAGTTAATACTTAATTCAACATGAGACTATCAGCGGATCTACACCATTTGATAAATACACATCATTCATAATTCTGGACAAATTTGAAGATCATTTGACCAGATCTAGAACAAACCAATTTTAAATCTGGTCAAATGATCTGCAGTTTTGGTGAACCACAAATAATTTTTTTTGTCCAAATTTTTAGATATGTCAAAACAATCTAATTCTGGCCCAATTTGCAAATCATTTGGCCTGGAAGATCCAGGATTTCTTGGGCTGGATGATCTGCAATTTGACCAGAATTAGATTGAGCGACACGTTTGATGAGTCCAAACAGCAGTTTGGGTATAAGCGGTGATGAAATTTCCGCTTATACACATAGTGCCCAGGGTATAAAATTAGTTATTGCCTATTTGGATATTTGGTTAAATAATTGATTAAATAATTTTTAGTAGTGATTTTGGCCGATATGGAAAAATCAGCTAAGCCAAAAATTTTCGGCTTAGCCAGTCGATTTTTTCAAAATCGGCTAATCAATTTTTATATCTCCAAAAATAGAAAATATAATTTACGTGTAATTACGCACAATTCAAGTATTTTTTTTTTATTAATGGATACCTTCGGGCACTTAAAACCGGTTTATTTCAATTATTTCATCCGGCATCATAATTTATAACAATTGTTAATATCAAAAAGGCGTAACTTTAAATATTAAAATCATCGGGATTAATCTATACTAAAGTACAAATATAGTGAACAGACATGAAATTTCAAATTTACATTTTTGATACACCAGTATAATAAACATCAAAAATATAACATTTGTATCACCATATCTAAACATTAGTAGTCCTCGCTACGCTCCGAACAATTATTGATATATTAATCCAATTGAACTCTTAAATATGCTACAGTATATAACAATTAATTGTATAAATTGTTTTATTTAGTCTATTTAGTTTGTTATAACAGAATTCAATACATTATATGGTTCTTTCACAATAAACCCGTATAAAATACATATACTTTAAGTATGATTTTACTGTGAAAAAACCTATATATATAGTTAAGATCAAAGAATCTATCATAATAGTTATGCTATAGTAGTTAATGCAGTGCATTGTCATTTCACTAAGTATATAGGACCGCTATTTTAGAAGTAAAAACATTAGCAATTAATTAAACAGTCTGCCATTCAAATATAAGAAACTTACCAAATGATATATGAAAATGAAGCAATACTTAAAGTTTAAATAAGTAATAAACATTTAAAATTAACAAATTAAATAAATATATAATTAAAATTGCATTAATAAACTTACCAAGTGACAATTGTAATCGAACTACTCGAGGACTTAAGTAAATAGCTAATCTAAAGCTATTCATGTAGTGTGTAAAACGAAAGTCGATTTCTTCATAAAACAATCCAATATATAAATTCAGACAAATCATACAAATTAGCATTTCTCTTTATGAGCTTTAATTGAAGTAAAACATCATAAGAATCTAAAGCATACCTAACAAAAATAGAAAATTAGCATTGTCCATTTCAAAATTTCAATTTGCAAATTGAGATTCTATGAGTTGAATTAATTAATGACGATGCACTTATATTATTGGACAAATATTAGTGTAGATCTTTGCCAAAATAATCTTTGACCTTGCGTCTTCAAACAACCAGAACTTTTATTATACAATTAATAAAAGTCTAATTCATTTTGGATTGGTCAAGTCCAATTGTAAGTCGGTAGAAATATTTATACCTCTAGGAATAGAAGCTGGGTCAAAATGGGCCTGGTTCATAAGTGTCCGACATATTATATAAATTAAACTATGTGTTAGATATATGATAAAATTTATTCATAAACATTTTTGTGTAGATGTTAATTTTTACTTATATATTATAATCATTTCTCAAAAATTTTAAGTATATGGGCTGCCATCAATAGAAACCAAGCAGATTGACATTTTAATCTCCTAACTTTCACAACTTATATCTCGATGAATTTTGAGGCTATCTTGATGAATTAATATTCAAAGAAAGTCAAGATCTTAAGCTTTCTTTTGAATATTAATCCATCAAGATAACCTTAAAATTCATCGAGATATAAATTTTAAAAGTTAAAAGATTAATTTTTTTTAAAATGTCAATCTGCTTGATTTCTATTGATGGCAGCTTATATGCACATCCCTAAAGGTTTAGTAGTTTATGATAAATTTCATGAAGATAAGTATTATATCTCTACAAGCAAAACTATAAAGCCATTTCATTTATTAAACAAAAATAATTTAATCTAAAATGCTTTTCTTAAAAAAGAGAAGAAAAAAAAAGACATTTCCTTTTCTAAAGAAATGGCTCTATAGCTTTGTTAGTAGATATAATACTGGCCCTTAGAAATTTACCCTAAACTATCTAACTGTTAGAACTATACATTATGTAAAATACCTATATAAAATATTTGTTAATAAATTTAATATGTAGCTATATATAGTTTTGTTTACATAGTAATCATATACCTTTTGAATCATGAGTTCATATTTTTTTGCTGTATAACAAATGGCAATTGACAAAAGACTCATAATTTTAAACATATCCATTAATCATATTTGGATAAACTGTTTATAATTAAATTTGTGCTATACCCAAAATAAATTAGTTAATTCAGAATAATATAAATATGCATAATAATTATAATTAAATAACTTATTTAGGAATTGGCCAATGTAGTTGTGTACTTTGATTATATCGAGATTTTTGGTTTTGTCCCCAACACCTTCCACTGGAATATTTAAACTTTCAACTTATAAATGCTATATCAAAAAATTGTAAAATTAGAACTTTATTTAATAGCCCCAAAGCAGGTTATTTAAGTAGAATTTTGAGGTATTGAAATTTTCTAAATTCAAATTTGTCCTGACCTTGTTTGTAAACAGTATTGAGCCGATATGCATCTACGCGTGTCACTCTGGAAAAAAAAGTAATTTTTTCTATTAAAAAATTCTAAAAATAGGTCAATACAATTTTGAAAAATTCGTATTTACTGATTTTCTCAGCATGCTACTATAAATCTTTGCATTCGATTTATAATAAAAGATATCTGATTATTAATGATGATTTTAATAATATTGGGTTTTGATTTAGCCTAATCAGCCCAAAATCAATATCTTAAAAGAATCAATTTAAAAGTATCTCATTGTTATTTGTATGCATTTTAATTATAGAAAGTACAAACAATATTAATATTAAGAAAAAAAATAGAACAATTCATAAATATAATAAATATAGCCATGTAACTATTTGGAGACAGTTCATACATATATAAATTCATGCTTATTTAAGCCAAGCAAATGACCTTATGCAAGGTGTATAATTTACAAAATAAATAAATATTAATTTATATTAAATCAAATATCAATAAAAAGAGAAAAGTTATATCTTTAACAAATTCAATATTTATTAAGAATCTATTCACTTTACAAAATGTCCTTAAAAATTTTTTCTGGCAAAGACTTGAATTTAGATGAATTACATCTATCGTTAGACGAAAGACCAAGTTTAATGTCAAATAAAAATTATTCTCATCTTCTGATGAAGAGCCTCATTTGTCATTAGATAGTGAATCTTTTTCAACTCACAAACTTTCATCAAAGAATAAATGTTCTTTAAATAATATGTCTTCCTTAAATGAAGAATTGTCTAATATTTTACATATGTTTACTCAAAATAAAAGAAAAATTAGTAAACTAAATACTAAAAAAAGATCTAAACCAGAAAAAAGTTGGGTGTGGAAATATATGAAAAAGATAAACTTAACAAATAAATTATATGCCAAGTATGGGTTTGCGATAGTGATAAAAAGCAACAATGTCTAAATCCTTTTAAGCTCACAACCAGTACAACAAATTTAGCATCCCATCTTCGAGCTGATCATAGATTAGATAAAAATGGACCTTTATTATTTTTAAGTAGTGTAAAAGGAATAACTTAATGACCGACTGTTCAATTGGATCTATTGCAATCTACTCTGCCAAAATTATTTAGCCATAGAATAGCATTGCCAGAAAAAAAACAAAACAGAATTACCTCCTGAATTTTAGCCTGGATAATTAATGATATACAACCCTTTAATGTTTTAAAAAATGACCGATTTCATGACCTTTTATACAAAGCAGAACCACAATATCAATTTTCAGGTTGAGATATATTTAAACAACCAATGTTTGAGGCAGTAAACTATACTAAAAATAGTTTAAAAAATTTAATTGACAATATGTTAGAATCTTTTGCGTTCACTACAGACTTATAGACTCAAGACCACAAACCATATATTGGGATTATGGCCCATTGGCTCTCTTCGGAATTTGAAATGTGTAAGGCTTTACTCACTATTGAAAGTTTCCCATATCCACATACATCAGATCATATTGAATATTGTTTACAAAGAGAATTAGCTAAATAGGGTTTAAGCAACAAATATGTAGCCGGCGTAACTGATAATGCCAGTTCAATGGTAAAAACATTAAAAGATATTGGTATTTTACATGTAAGATGTACAGCTCATACCATTCAACTCAGTATTACAGATGGTTTAAAACAGGCTGCTGACTTAATTGACTGTGCAAAAGATCTAAATTCATTTGTCACTGGAAAAAACAAAATTAGAGAAAGACTATAATTAATACAAATTGAAATGTTTAAAGAAAAAAACCCATTACTTAACAATAAAAATATTTCTGTTCTTGATTCAATATCCAACGATATAGTGACCAGATGGAACTCAACACATTCATTGTTAGAATATCTACTTTATCTTTATAAAGCTATAAAAAGACTGCAAAAAGATATTGCAAAAGATAAAGAAAGAACTATTAGACAAAATACTAAAGCATTAGAAGAGTTGCTCCTTGAAGAAGATGATTTATTAGGAATTCAAAAGTTGGTTAAGTTGCTAAGTTCTTTTACAGATATTACAACCATAATGGGTAGTAATCAATATCCTACTATTTTAATGATGTTACTATTAATTAGAATATTACAAGATCATCTATTTGAAAAAGAAAAGACACTTAAACATCCAATTATTTGTGATGTACATGATAAGATAGAGCTTTCATTTGGAAATTGTTGAGATAAGCCTGGAGTAGAAGGGTACATCGCTACTATTCTCAACCCAAGATTTAAGAACTTAAGCTTTGAGCCAGAAAACCTAGAACCAATAAAAAATGAATTAAAATGCAGAATGGAAGATGCAAAAAATATATACCCAACAACACCTTCAATTAAAAATAGATCATCTTCCTCTTTATTAAATTCATTATTTGAAAAAACTTTTCAAGAAATTTGTCCTATTGAAGCCGAACTAAAGATGTATTTTGACATGCCCCAGATAAAAAAATATGATCATTCTGATCCTCTTTATAAAAAAAATAACCTCTTAGTCTTTTGGTAAGACAATAAATCAACACTTCCCTTAATGGACAACAAGCACGATTGTATTTAGCAATTCCAGGAACCTCAGTTCCCTTGGAGCATCTCCTCTCTGATGCTGGGAACATTATAACTGATAAATGAAATCACCTTCTTCCCAACACAGTTCATGATCTACTTTTTTTGAAAGAAAACCAGGATTGTTTTAATCCCTATTCTGATTTAAACTAGTATACCTCAATAGATTTGTTAAGAAGTGACAGAATTTATTTTTATACAAAAAAATAGAGTTAGATAAATATTAAAAAAAAAAAACATTAAATAAATGCTTATTAAATCTCAACTGATCTTGTAATTTTGTTTTTTTTCAAATTTATTAAATAAATACTTATTAAATCTCAACTGATCTTGTAATTTCAAAGTATTTTTAGCATTAGTAAAGTTCAACTTGTAGGTGCATTGCAAACAAATTGTAGTCACCCCATCTCTGAGATCACTGAACCCGCAGGACTTTTATTAGAGGTAGTTTTTATAGCAGGCGATAATATGTTAAAATGATTTTAATTTTTTTTTTATCATTTTAGTAACATTACAAAAAGAAGTTTGTAATTTGACGATCTACTATATAAATGAACGTATCTGGTCATGTGATTGAGACCCGATTAGGAAATCGGCTAAGCCAACTAAGCTGACCAAAATTTATCAGCTAAGCTTAGCCAATAAATTTTGATCGGAACATCAACTAATTTTTAGCCGACGACTAAGCTGCTGCTTAGTCGACTATGAATGACTAGCTGATAATAACCAGGGACGATGATTTTCTGCAGTGATATTTATTTATTTACAAAAATAAATAAATACCACTACAGAAAATCATTGTCCCTAATAATAATGACCCTAATTGCAACATTGCGGTACGTAAAATTTATGGCAATTAGGTTCTGTGTCATAATTAATTCTACCATATAGTATAATACCGTAATGTCATAATTAGTAATTCTGCCACCAACACTAGTCAAGAATATATTAAAAAATATAAAGAGGTATCAGCTAATTTAACTAAAGATTTATTAAGAGATCTGATAAACATATTTGCATTACATATGAGTGTCGCCAAAAGAAAACCTGACAATTTAAATATAGACTATATTTAAATTGTCAGGTTTTCTTTTGGCGACACTCAAGCGCATATCGAAAATGTGTCGAAAATAAAATTTTAATTAACAGAAAGTAGTTTTAATCGATCAATCGAGCTTGTCATTAAGATAAGTAAAGATGGGAAATTCAATCAAAAAAATTTTTTCCCGAACCATGCTTTTTTCTGCCTGACTTATAAATATTAAAGTTAATAAAGTATTGTTCAAGTGCTTTCATACTTTTTATTATGAATATTTATAGTCGACACATTTTTTGTAAATTTTTGATAAAATATTTAGAATTATCTCAAGTCGTGATTGAGATCTTTATTTTGATCTATCATTGCAATTGAGCATCATTACAATCATTAAAAAATCACAGTAATAGTAATGTTTGAGCATATGGGGTGAGTCAGTAGAAACGCACCAAATCTTTTTTAATGAAATTTTTTAAATTTTTTAACAAAAATAACTCAATGAAAGCTTAATCAAATTTAGTAAAATTTTTTAAATGAATCCTATAAGTTTTCAAAGTTATTTTAAATTAAATTTGATTAAGTTATTGTTGAGGTGTTTTTGTTCAAAGTTTTAAAAAATTCATTAGAAAAAATTTGGTGCGTTTCTAATGACTCACCTCATATCTAAATAATATCGTCATTTGTATTATTGGTTTTTATCCAAAATGCTATCTGTTATGACAACAGCTAAAAATTATGTCATAATACTTGTACACTATTTCGATCACTATGAATTCGCATCTAGGTTGACGCTTGAGAACACCTTTAATATACATTATATTTTAATTAGTCAACCATTATGCTATACTAAGAATTGGAATCATCTAAAATTTTTTTAATCGCATAATTTATTGACTATCAGTCTATCACGTGAACATGCTCAGATGTTACGTTTGGTCGTAATGCACTGGTATTGTAACTGTGGGAGAAACTTGGCTAATATGAGGTCAAATTAGCTCAGGGTTACAAGTATAGATGCAGCAACATGGTCAAGTATAGTTACGTCAAAAAGTTGAGTGGTTATGTCAAAAGTGTCATAACAGCGTATGTCATAGTAACTGATACTTGTCGCAACTAAGCTTTTGACCATAACTTTATGATTAGACGTAATGCAGGACGTGATAAACGTAATTTAGCTTGATTAATGTAATGATGAATATAATTAACTTGAAGAATATAATGACAAACATAATTTAACTTTTGAAATAAATAAATAAATAAATCATACGAAAATTTAACTTTTAAAAATAAATAAATATGAAAATTGAAAAATTAACCTTTCTTAAAAAAGTCAATAAATTAAAGCGAAAATTATTAATAAATTAAAGAATGTCAA